TGTGGGGGACCTTTGCAGTTACCCTGCTCAGAGCAGTGCCTCGAGCATCCTGGATAAGTGTTATCACAGGCAAGCTTCTCTGATAGCAGACTCTGTGATGAAGCTTAGCATGCCAGAAGTTTATTAGGGATCTTAGGATCAACACCTGTAGGAAGGGAGGAGGCAGGACAGGGCAGAAGGAGAAGTTGAGGCAGTCTCAATGTAGAGGCCTCAGCTGACTTTATGAGAAGGTCTGAAGCTGGAATGATCCTTCAGGGCTGCCCAAAGTTGGCCGGGCAGTTATGTGCATACGCAGGCCACCTCAGAGGGGCGTGCTCTTGGGCAAGGCAGCTCTCCTCACCAAGGCCATCTACCTGCAGGTAATACTGTCAGCAGCTGGGAGGGTCATTTCTGAAGGGAGACCTGGATGATGCCTCACAGAGTCGACCATAGGTGCCCGTCCAGGCTTCGAGGCGGGTGTGGCAGATGTCAGTCACTGTCTGTGGATGTGCTTCAACCATGGTTGGAATGGCTGTAGTTGTTAGAAATGTTTTCTGCTTTATACTGAACCAAAAATCGCTTCCTCGTCAAGTTCCAAATACCTGTATTCATTTTGGCTATGACGAAGAAAAACAAAATGAGCCTTGAACGATCTGAAGAGAGCCATAATATCTCATTTTAAATCTTCCCTTGACTGACCTCACCTCATTTCTTCCACTGTTTTTTTGGCATATGCTTTTCTGGCCCCTTACTCTTCGTCTTTTAGCCTCCACGTAACATGTTTTAAATTTGCGAAACTTAATATGCAGCATCTGAAATGAGACGCAGTAGCCCAGATGTGGCCTAACCAGCTCAGACTGCAGTAGGACAATTCCGTAACATAATCTGTGCCTTACAGAAGTAAGCTTGGAGGCAGTTAAGATTCTTATGTCTTTTTCAAATGAATTGCTGTGAAGGAACCTCTCTCCAAATGTAAGTTCATGAAAACAATCACTGGGAACCTAAATGGAGACTCTAAAAGATCATTTTAAGCCCCATCATATTACATAGTGTGTATAGTCATATTTTAATAAAAATAATAGCACATGTTTATTGAGTCCTTATCATATGCCAGATATTGTGTTAAAAATTCTTGCATGTCTGCATCTCATTGGAACCCCCCAACAAGCCTGTGAGGTTGGTACTATGTGGTGTATCCTCATTTTACAGAGGAGGAAACAGAGGACAGAGGATTAAGTAACCTGCCCCAAGTTACCAAGTCAGTAGATGGAAGAGCCAGGACTCCAACTCAGCCAGTCTGACGCCAGAGTTACCTTCTTCTGTATGTGGGTAGTACTTTGGTTTGGGTGATTTAAATGAGTGACTGACTTAACAATATCTAAAGGAAGTACCTTGAACATACAGAGAAGCTTAGAGGGCTTTAGAAAGATGGCATTTTTTAAAGGGACAAAGCTGAAAAAACTTGATGCTTTCATGTAGGGACTTTCTTCACTGCTGTCAGAAGCTTTTTAAGGGTGAGGACCGCATTTGTTCATCTTCTAATTGTGCCCAGCATGGTATTTAAATCATGTTTTGATACCGGAGCTGGACCATGTAATCATTTCTCCTTTGCCAGCAACCAACTTAAGGTTTGTCAGTAGAGGGCGCTGGAGGGCCACTGCGAGAGGAAGGGGCTTTTCCCTGCGGTTCTTGTGCTTTTCTTCTTGCTCCTGTGGCCCAGTGGCCACTGTGCAGCTTCCTGCTGGAGACCTAGTGGTACACGACCTCCAGTGAGTGTCACTGGCACCCCAGCAAGTTGCTTCCGGAGTTTCACCAGTGTTCCAGTGGGAAGCTCCCTGAAGCACCGTAGTGAGATACTCCATCCCCTGTGGGCCATAGCCCATGAAGTCTGAATCTCATTCTCCAGAGAAGGGCCCCTCGCAAATTTGTTCCTCCTTGAATACTTTCCTCAGCCTTGGGGATAGTAACTGCTTCCTACATCTGCTGTTCCATTTATCTTCAGAGATCGCTTTACCCCTTTGTAGTCAATCCCTTTTTACTAGTTACAAATTCTTTCCATTAACATTTTCCTGTTTAAATTATTGCCATGGTTTCTGTCTCCTGATCAGACCCTGACTAACCCAGTGCTAGACGCTCAACAGGCGGTGGGTGAATTAGTGGGGAACTGAGGAAAAATGCTTCATTTTCAATTTATTGCTGCTGTTTATCTTGCGGACTGGACTGGATGGACTAGACTTCTGCCGTATCGAACTCTCCCCAGATGTTTAAGTTGCTTGGGAGTTACATATTTTCAAGCAATCTGTAAAACCATCTCTCTTCTTCACTCCAATTAAATATTATGTGACATGTTCCAGTAGCACCAAGGATAAAGAAACCAGTTTCTCTCTCATTTGTCCCCTCTGCACAACCACCCTGGATTGGGTTTTTATCCTGTATTTAATCAGAAATAATCTGGCCAGTGCTAAAACAAACACCACTTCCCAGGTCAGATTCAGGGATCCTAATGCAGGTGTTCCTATTTTGAGAATGCCATAGATTTTACCGTTCATTTCTATAGGAATTGACTGAACTCTGAATGCAGTTGACATTCTCAGGCTATGAGCAGTCCTGCTTCTACAGTTTACACAAAACATGTTAATACGGAATAACATTCCTATAACTTATTTTGGAGAAAATGTTTGGGGCTGAGGCAAATCAGTAAAATAATCTGGCATCTTGCTCTTATGTATCTCTAGGTCACACAGAAAATTTTTCTCCTAAGGCAGGAAAACATGAAATACGAAAATCACAATGACATGTGTTTCTGTGATGATTTGCACAAATTACCTGCCTACAGCTACATCCCAGAAGCTGCAGCCAAGTGCACCAAATCCTGACACTGAACACAGTTCCAAAGAGGGAATGCCCAACCCTTCATTAAGGCTGATAGAAAAGCACATCGGGGACATGGTGAGGTTTTGCTTGTTTATATAATAAAACAGACACCAATGTTTAGCTGCTGAGTGTATAAATTTAGCCTGCATGACAGTGGGAAGCCAAGAAGGAAGGAAGCAATTTGGGAAGTACGCCCTCCCCACATCACAGACATTCTCAGACCCCTCAGAAGACCCCAAAACACCAAAACAAGGTCCTACAATATATGCGTTTTTTAAAGCAAATCCACTCTCTGGCTTCAGGCTGTGTGTGACCTGGTTTCTCTCTTTAATTTTATAGCTATTGGTGGAAAGCTAACAGTGTAGTATGTCATGGTCCATATGTCAACCGCAAAGTGGGTACCATGTTACAGAAAGATCCCAAGACTCACTTAGTACATTTCCCTTGTAACCTGAGAGGATATTCGATGAATCCTTGGGATCTGGAGCGGCCGATGTCAGATCCCCACGTCTCAGGTGCTAAGTTGTCTGCCTAGATTTTAGAGTAAATTTTATGTATGGTGGCAAAGAGAGTCTTTCTGGGGGTGAAGAGCAGGTTTAGGGAGCCAAGTAGGAAGGAGGGGCGGTGTGCCACTTTTTATGAGCTATCATTTCAACTTCTAACGCTTGTCAAACAAATCCTTAGTAATTTTGAAATGGAAAGCATACACGTCCCACTGCCTACCTGGGCTTCTTACTTTGCACTACTGCTCCTGAAAAGCATTTTTTTAATTTGTGAAAGTCGAGTTAAGGGCACATCTTTGTTTAGTGTGTCACTTTTACCATGCTTATTAATATGCTAACAACCCAAAAGCGATTAAGGATTTGGGATTCCCCTCCCCCCTTTGCCACAGGGCAGGCAGGACGTCACTCAGGGAAATATGAAAGGTGACTTCGTTTATATTTTTCTCTTTGCAGTCCAGTTCAACCATAAGAGGCCAATTCTCAGCCACCCTAACCCCCCAAACATTTAGGGCATAGGGTTACACTTTTTGGTTGGTTCAGCAAAGATGGGAATTTTTGAATCTCTGAATAAGATATAGTCTGGTAGCAATGATGTTTATCTTGTGACTAAGTCATGAATGGTATACTCTTTTTTTTTTTTTTTTTTTTTTTAGGTAGATAAGAGCGTCATTTCCAAAAAGTGATGGGGGCTGGGGAGGATGCTCAGAGGCCCTGGGTTTCTAGTCTTTTCCTGGCTCAGTCCACTTTTCATGTATTGTTTAGAAATGGTTACGAAGTAGGGATTGTTGGGGCTAGAGAGAGGAATGAAGTGAAGACTGTGGGAGTTAAGGAGGGAATGACCTCAAGCCCCAAAGTGATGAGAATTCCGTAGCAGGGGAGAGGGTCAAAGTCTCCGGGGCTCTGAGAGCAGAAATCTGCTAAGACCAGCATTGGAGGCAGCAGTGGCTGCCCGTGGGGTCTGCATCATTGCATTCATATTGCTTTAGTAGCAAACCAGCTAAAAGAATTCACGATGCCCTCAAAACAGGTGGTTCGTGGGTAACAGGATGTCCCCTTGTATTGTTTATTCAAGAACAAACCGGGCCTTTGAAAACACTAAAGTCATAATACAGGATCCTGGTAGGGTCTGGTCATCTTAGGGAAGAAGAATGGTTGCATTAAGCCAGTGTTTTTCAAACTGTGGTTGTGACTCTGAATGTCATGACCCCATTTAATTGGTCTTTGGCCAGCCTCTTTTAGGGGAGTGTAATAGAAAAATCTCAGAGCATTTCATATATATAATTTTGTGACATTTTTTGGTTTCAGTTGTGTGTATTTTAAAGGTAATATATGTGCTGGGTTGGAAAATGGGATAGAAAAAATGTAGTTCTTACAGTTGCTCAAGCTCCAAAAAGTAGAAGAATACTGCCTTAGGCAACTTTAAAAAGAAAAGGAGGGATTGATGGTGATATAATTCGTTGAGTGAGCAAACACCGCCCAACTGTTTTTTATAGATGCATGTGTATATGTGAGCATGCATGCATATGTAAATGTGTTCATATGTTTGCATGTGTGTGAGTGTGCATGTGTGTGATCTGATTCTGCCACAATGTCTAGGCAACGGTGTACTTCCTCCTAAGAATAAGAAGTCATAAGATTCAGGAGTTTATTTGAGGAGATGTTTTTTAATGTGATAATAATTTCAGAAAATCTGATGGGCAAACCTCTAGCCCCACATCAAGGTCCTGGAGATGCAAGAGATGCACCTCTTGCCATTGACTTAAAATTGTAAATAAGTCCTTAAAATTTTTTTCAGGTCACTGTGTTTTTGCCGAAGCGCAAGCTGGTCAGCTTTACAATAGTAGCATAATTTCATATGCTACAGATGAAGAAATAGTGTCGGCTGAGTTAGTTATGGTCCTTGGCGCTTCAGGGGACAAACTTCCTGAATATATTTCCCTAATGGATCCCTAGAAAAGCACCATGATTGCCTTAGGTTTCTAAACAAAATGAAAAATATTATTCCTATCAGCCTTCAAAGTTTCGTATCTGGTAACAAGCTAAGTGTAGAAAACCAAGCAGCCACACCTCAGGGATGCTGGCTAAGTCCTTCAATAGGAAGATGAGACATGATGATGCTCAAAAAGTCAGAGAGACATTATCCCCTATAAGTGGAACATTTATTAATATTTTTAAGGTGCAAAAAAAAAAAAAGAGAGAGTGATGTAAAATGACAGGCATCTTCTTCTTCAGAGGTCTGCTTTGTAGCCCAGGAACTTGGTTGATTTGAACAGTATGTTCTACAAGGCTGAGGGCCTGGGCTCTGTCTCTGACACAAAGCAAGGACCCTGATCTTCATTAACATGTGATGCTCCAGTCAGTTTTTTGTAAGTCCACACTGTTGGCCTTACATAGGAGGCTTTAATTATCACCCCTGCCAAGGAAACAGATCTCCACCACCTCCACCACCACATTGAAAACAATCCAAAAGCATATACGTTCCTGATGCTTTGTATAGAATGTCAGGCAATTCATAACAGTTGGCCTGAAAGTGAATCCACACGAGAGGCATCTGATGGGCAGATGGCTCCAGGACTTTCTCAAGGGAGAGAGAGAGCAACAGGAATGCTCCATGTTTGAGGAACGAGAACATGTTCAGAACGGAGCAGGCAGCTGCCACGGACTCCCTTCTTACAAGATCGGACAGCCTTTTTTTTCCTGATTTGAAAGTGGTCCCCCTGAACTGACACGGTTCTGCAGTTGAAGATTTAGGTTTACCTTGCCATGTCCTCTGACACTTCCATAGAGGTTTATCTTACGCTGGGGGTTGCTCATTCTTCCAAAACCTTGGTTTCTGGGCCTTGTTGTTTATTCAGCAGGAACCTACAAAGTCTCTGTTTTTACTTGACTGAAAGAAATGGATCCTCAGCATCTTGCGTCATAAATATAATGCCCTGGGAGAGAATACAGCAGCAAACCAGACAGACAAGGTCCCCAGGAGCCCCAGGACCCAGTAAAACGCCTGGCACACCGTTGGCACTTACATATTCATTGAACAAATACAGGAATAGCCACTGCGCTGAGGTTGTCAAGGTCACAGTAGTATTTCCTCTCAATGCCTTGGGTCTCTGCAACCACAGACTTCCATCTCATCTGTTAGCCACAGCTTTCATTTTTTTTGGCCAATCTTATACTTGAATTTGATTCATACACTAAAAATTATGGACCATTATAAATATCTTGGATTTCCTCTGTGGGTACCTTTTTCTGGCCAAATCTTCATAGTCAAGAGATGTCAAGCCACAGTGCACTATTCCCAACTTGCCTGCAAAGATTTACTAAAATAAAATCAAATTGTCTTATCCAAGTTACAAAAACAAAAACAGTTATGAAACGTTTTGCTGTACAAATGCAGAATGATATAACTGTAGCGTTAACGTGTTTCAGTTCCACAATTGTAGTATCACACTGAACTTTCACAAATTGTCATTTTTCTTCCATTCAGAATAGTTCAGTTACTAAGGAATTACCTTTCAATTGATAATTACTGCAATTGATCATAAAACATGAGCTAGCATTCTCATCAGTTTTTATGCACAATTATATCATTGCTTAAGAATCCCCATTTGCAAAGGAAAATTTATAATAGCACAGTGGAAAACAAAGAAAAATCTCATTTTCTAAGGTAAATGTAGTCTAAGTAGTAGATAATTGAGGAGCTTATATATCGTATCCTATTATTATCATTCTCAGTTTAACTGCCTTTGAGCTATATATTTTTAAATGTGACTAAAAGGCATAGTCTCACAGTAAATTTAAATGGCTTATTAAAGGCCTTTACATGGCAACAGTATCATGTCAGAGATGAATGGTATTTCTAATTTGCTAGCCGCTTGGGTCAGGTTTACTTTAAGCAGGAAGCATATTTATATAAGTAACCGTCACACACATGGCGTCCTGGGAAAAGCTGTTTGTGAGGGTTTAACATTTTTGAAGTATGCTTTTGTATATCTTCTAAATGGGCATTTTACAGGCATTGGGCCAAAGTGCCTTCAACCCCGACTCCCTAACTCAGGCATAACTGCTGATGCTGCCTGAGTGCGGGAAGATCCATGGGACATGCATTTTTAAGGGTGTGGCCGGGAGGGTCGGGGTTTGAGCCCCCTTCATTTGAATAACGCTTTTAGGGACTTTGCTACTTAAAGTACGGGGGGTGGGGAGAGGCAGCAGCATCTACAGCACCTGGGAGCTTGTGAGAAATGGGAAAACTCTACGGCAGACCTACTGAACCAGAACCGCCCATATGATTTGTAAGCACTGCCCCAGGACCCCAAAGCCTCCGCTTTCTGGTGGCCAAGCACAGGTCATGGCATCCCCTTCTCTTTCCTTCTCACTTCTAGAATCATCCTCTTTGGAGGATAATGTCCCCTCAGCCCATGTTTCCCTTTCTCATCACTCCCACACCCACTCCCCAGACCCAAATGAATTTCCCAATACCCAGAGTCCTGGCTTTTATCAAGAACCTAGTTCTCTTCTCCACCTGACATCATCGAGGGGCTTCCTGCTGCCGAATAACCTTGGGGAAGTCAAGGCATTGTAAGAACTCGCAAGGCTTTGCCTTCATTCTGCTCTCCTGTGCCTGAGCCTCTCAGCCTTCATTCATTGCGCATTGAGATCCCATCCTTCTAAGCTGTCCGCTAGAATCCAGTCAGTCTCCCCTTGCCATTTGAATCCCTTCTGAGAGGGGATTTATTCATCCCTGTTTCCACTCATGGAAAGCTGCCTTCCTCTAACGTAGCCATAGCTTCTCTGCTAATAATCGTGGGGGATTGAAAGGATGAAAGGGAGTCATGCCAGGTATTCAGGGGACTTGCGGGCGGGGTTTACTCTGTAGAGGGAATTGCATGCAGTTACAACCCACTCGGCAGCCCTCTGCTCGCACTTCATTTGGTTCCACCCGTGCATTAAGAGGCTCAGTCTGCATCAGATGCCCAGAGGCAACTGGACTTCCAAACCAGACCCAGACTGGCCAGCCAGTTGGCCCCTAAAAGCCATTTGGTCCCTCGGTTCCAAACTGTGCCAGGGTGAAGGGCTTTACAAAAAAAGTGAACTGGGCGTTTAGAAGCACGTTACAAGTTTAGGCTCTGTGGGCCAGGGGTTAGGGCGGCCAATGATCAAGGGTACAATTTGGGGTCAGTCGGGTGAGGACCCCTTCGGGCTCCTCTGGAGTGATCAGCACCCAGCACAGATTTCTTTAATCAGAGGAGACTGGCAGGGGGAGAAACAAGATTGCTTTCTGGCCGTAGTGAGTCCGAGGACCGCGTTTGCAGCTTCCGTTCTTCTTGAGACCAACGAACCAATTCTTTTCTGCATGCTTCTTGGATGCGTAGGTGTTGTAATGGTTTTCCTCCAACCTTTCCAGGAACAAACATTCCTCATTGGGTGTCTGCTAAAAAAAATAAAACCAGGAAAGAGTAGAATGATTAGTGAGTGGTTTTAGATCGGGTTCCTCTGTTTACTGGCTGTGTGACCTTGGGCAAATTAGTGAGGCTCTCTGTGCTTCGGTTTCTTCTTCAGTGACATTGGGAAAATAACGGAACCTGTCTCTGAGGATAGAAATGACGACTTGGGACGGGACCCAGTACGTAATGAGCCTTCAATGTACATCTGCTATTATGTAAACTCCCCTCACATCTGCTCTGCTCAGGACCCTAGAGTCTCCCACTTGGGAAATCCTGAATGACTTTAAGCACCTTAAGGGTAGAGCTGGGTCTTTTGTCTCTGCAGAGGCCTGCCACCTAGGTTTGACCATGAAAAGCGTCCAAAATGGGTAAAACCAGACTGTGATGCAGTGGGGCATTCTTAAGTTTGGTCTTGAAGAATAAATGAAAACCTACCAATTATACTTTACACCCTTGTGATTTTCACCAACAGTATCAGGGTTTTACTTTAGTGTTGTTATGAATATAAATGCTTGCATGAAATGTGTCCTAAGCATAAAACACGTCCTGGAGCTTAAAGGATTTTTTTTTTTCAGTGAGAATAGATTTTTTTTTTTTTTTGCTACTTATCAAAAGAATGGTACTTGTAAAAACGAAAATCACAACTTTACTTTAAAAAAAGAAAGAAAAAAGAAAAAATCACCACAAAGCGCACCCACCCAGATATAGGCACCTATTAACAGTTGATGAACGTCCTTCTGTACCTCTTTATGTATGAGCACACAGAGAGACATAGATAGGGCCATATCGATAGAAACTTAGGGTATTATCAAAATGGCATACTATGTCTGCTGTTTTAAAAATGGGTGATAAGGGCTTCCCTGGTGGCGCAGTGGTTGAGAGTCCACCTGCCGATGCAGGGGACATGGTTCGTGCCCCGGTCTGGGAGGATCCCACATGCCACAGAGCGGCTGGGCCCGCGAGCCATGGCCGCTGAGCCTGCGCGTCCGGAGCCTGTGCTCCGCAATGGGAGAGGCCACAACAGTGAGAGGCCCGCGTACCGCAAAAAAAAAAAAAAAAAAGGGTGATAAACCTATGAAAACATATTTAATCTCACTAGCAAGAAGATGCAAATTCAAAAATGATTTAACATGTTGGCTATAATATCTGCAAAAAGCAAAAAGATTTACAAGTCTTAGTATGGGGCAGAGTGTGGGAAATAGTCACTGTCAGACACTGTTGGTGAGATAAGTTGGTGGAAACTTTGTGAGGGGACTTTGGCAATATGTATCAAAATTTAAAATATGCATTACCCTTGACTCAGGGATTTCACTTCTAGGAACTGACGCTTATGAGATAGTGGTATTTTCAAGGATGTTCTTTGAAGTATTGGCTATAATGGTGACATATTGGAAACAACGTAAATACCCATGGAAAGGTGATTGGTTAAGTGGATAGCGGTACATCCGTACAGTGGGATCCAATGCAAATGTAAATTTATTAAGTTGGATAGATAGTTAAAACATATTAAATAGTGCAATTACATTGAAAATATGTACCAACAGTTACTGTTTTACTAAAATTCATCTGTTAGAGTGGGAGGAATCCCAGTTCTTTGCCCTTTCTGTTTGTCAAGATTTTAGAATACATTTATTATATTTGGATATAAACAGGAGTATTAAAATACATATGCTGTGTATGGACTTTGCTCCAATTCCAAGTCATGGGATCTCTGTATTACCTCTTCACCCATATAGTGGTTGGTGAGTCCCTTTCTGGTGGTTTCCAGTCCTATTGTTTATTCTCTATTTGTGGCATGTTTGTCTGTTAGACTGTCAGTCCTACTGAGGGAAGAGATGGAATCTTGTCAGCCTTGTGTCTCCCCCAAGACAAAGAACTTTGCAAATAATAGGTGCACACCAGCTAGGTGATGAATGTAATCTGATTCTTGAGTTCATATAAAGTATTCAAAAAAGTTACCTTTGTTTAGTAAGGAACTACATAACAGGAAGTATTCTGCCCCTTTTTCATCTGTAGTCTAGTGCAGTGACAACTGGGTGAGACACTTCAGATCATTTTGGAACAAGATGGGACATAGACGTAATATTTAATTAGGTGACTCTGTTGCCTCTAGAGGAACTCATCCAGACATTATTGTTCGATGCACGTTGTCAAGGGTGGGAGGAGGTAGGCGGTTTTGGACCTGGGTGGGTTGCCCACTCTCCTGCAAGGGAGGACTCACCCCATGACACGGCTCAGTGGGCGTCAGGCCTGTGCTCTGTGACGAAGCTCGGGGCGGCCACGTCCCCCACCTGATGTGTCTGTTACACTAGAGCGGTTGACACACAGAATGGCTGAGTCACAGGCTGAGTCAGCAGGCCAAATTGGAGATGCTCTATCTGTGCCCCAACCAGGATTTGTCAGTGCCTACTGTGCACTTCGTGCAATGCCACGGGCCCGGGGATTAAGAGTTGATTCATGCCTATTGTTTTAATTAACTTCTTTTTTATATTTAGCGTGCTTTTTCCCAATTACATAGGTGACAGATACCAACTGTAAAAAATTTGGAAAATTCAGAAAGGCATTCATATATTATAAGATCAGCCATGTACCCCACTCCCAAAGATAAATATATTAATGTTTTAGAGCCTTTCAGACTTATTTTTTTTAAATAAATATGCCCTTTCCACACACATGAATTTGTATCAGGATAGATGAATACCTAAAATTGGTTAAGAGCATGAGGCAGAGCCTGAGATATTTTAGAACTTATCTTTATCAATGGGGGAACTTATCTTTATCAATGGGGGAATATAAAAATTCTTAGGCATAATATATTAATATCACCCTATGAATATTTCAGGTGAATCAGTGATGTCCAGGACTATGGTGGGAGAAGGGGGAGCCTAGACGTATCTGGATTTAGGGGAGTCTTTATCAAATTTTTATACAAGTAAGAGAAGGTTATAATAAACATCAGAATTGATTTAAAGGAGGAAAAGCCATAAAACTGTAACACATAATGCAAGAAATAATGAGGGTAAGGGATTTGTAAATCGACTGCCTTACAGCTGCCATTGCTACACCAGTGGGCGGGTTCTGTGCGTTGTCTCTCTGACTCTTCTTAAGTATGTAAGCATGCGGTAATTATCCATTACTGTCCTCGTTTCACACAAGGTACAGAGCAGGTGAGTAACTTGCCAAAGTGGCAGAGGCATGAGATTCATTTATGAGTCTGAGATTGAATGATTGATTGGCCTGTTGATTTTATTGCTGATTGGAAGGCCTGCCTGAAAAAAAAAGTCTACTCCCTATGTACCAGTCACTGCCTAGCTCCAAACCCTTTCAAGTTGTCCAAATCAATCCATATTTCAGCAAACAGCCTGCAGGAACTACCTGTTCCTCTGATGGTCTCATCTCCTGAGCCCTAGTGGGCAGCATGAAAAAAAAATGAACCTGTGTTCCCATCCCAAACTCTGGCTGAGATTACAGCTTCAAGAGAGAGTTTCCTTTGCCCGTTGCCACTTGGCGATTTGATGTAAGTTAAAGGGAGCCCCAAACTAAAATCCCACCTACTGGCTGCCTTTTGGTAGACATCTTTCATAAAAGGGAAGAAGGGGGTTTGGTGAAGCCTTAATGTTCAGTTGTTAGGCTACAGAGAAAGGATCATTGAAATCCAGAAATATTTTCAAAACCTGCAGCCATTGGCTTCAGCTCTCTTTCCATTCAAATCGTTTACCAGAGATACCAATGGGGACAAAATCAGATTGACCCTATTCTCTTCTTTACTCACAAAGATCAATATGTACCGAGTCAAACATATATAAAGCATTAACTAGGAGAGAGATGGAGCAGGAGATGCAGCAGGATTTTAGCTACTGAATAAACCCTTGGACTTTGCTTCTCCAGGGCAAGGATGTGGCTTATTCACCTTTGCACCCTCTCAGTACCCAACTGTACTTGGACAACAGGAGGCGTTTGCTCAATGTTTGTTGAATTAAGTTATCAAACTTTCTTTTTCTTTTTTTTTTTGCGGTACGCGGGCCTCTCACTGTTGTGGTCTCTCCCGTTGCGGAGCACAGGCTCCGGACGCACAGGCTCAGTGGCCATGGCTCACGGGCCCAGCCGCTCCGCGGCATGTGGGATCCTCCCGGACCGGGGCACGAACCTGTGTCCCCTGCATCGGCAGGCGGACTCCCAACCACTGCGCCACCAGGGAAGCCCAAGTTATTAAACTTTTTATCCTTTTAGGTGACGCTTCCAGAATAAAAGGGCTATTTTCAAAGTTTTATGCATGAAATATCAACTGCTAGAGTCTGGGCTCTGCAATTTTTGTAAAAAGCCTTAAGAGACACACCTATATAGCCCATGGTAGATGCTCAAGAAACATTTTTGGAATGAAATAATGAAGTGGGATTGGGTATTCTGGAGCGAGTGACTGGATGAGTTACTAAAATTTCAATCAATGTTTTTTCTCTTTGTCTCTGTGATAATACGTTGGAGTATTTTGAGAGAATCCCGCAAGAAACTCTTTTATGTTTGTGCCTAAAATAAGGCAGGGTGGAGGGTGGGAATCCTGCTGGAAAAAATAACAAACAGAGACTAATTGACGCTTTATAGTTTGCATCACTCCATGTAACAAGATTTCTGGAAACCTCAAACCTTGGCCGAGTCTGGAAGCATGTCAGCCTCATACTTACTGAGCCGTACAAAAGCCCGTCGGTGTCCATGGCCAAGTACTGGCCAGTCTCCGTACTCTTTATATACACCTCCCCCACGCTTTCCGCACTGAGCTGCAGCTGAACTGAAATAAAAATAACACGAGCAAAAGTAAATAAACACTAAGCTTTTGCCGATAGGGCCTGGCGGCCAAGACAGTTAGCCACGGAAAATTCTGCTCATTCATCTCACAGAGCCCTCAAGGATGAGCCTCAAATTAATCAAAACATAGAAATACAGTTCCTTTTTCTTTGCCCTCCAAAGAAAGCTGTCCATTGGGAATCATGTTCTCGAGGGAAGGAGAGATGGTGGCGGGCTCGCCCACCCATCTGCCTTGTTCGTTACAACGTGACCCCACGTGCACTTTACAGGGCATGGTCACAGGAGGAAACAGCATTCACTTCCCCGGCTCCATCATCCCAGTGATCTTGGGGGGATCATAGAGTCAGCAACCGGCCAGCCTGAGGGTGTTCAGTTTCAGTTATCAACCTGCTTTGGCAAGGGTACCTTTTTATGGCCCGGGCCTTCCTGGTGTGGGAGCTTCTCGTGGACAGATTGTTATTTTTCAAAATCTGATAGTGTTACTTTCCCAGATAGAAGAGGTTCCCAGGAAGTTAGATTGCTTGGCACATAAGAAACTCAGGTAACTCACCCACAATGAAGTTCAGTCAACCCCCAACCTCTGTGGCAACCCCACTGGGATACAGGCAGAGGGGAAACCCTGGCGTTTGAAAGGGAGAATGAAGCAGCCACCTGGGATGGGAATAGTGCTTCTTACCTGGGGATGATTTTGTTCTAGAGGGGACAGTTAGCCATGTCTGGAGACATTTTTGGTTTTCCCAGCTGGGGTGGGATGGTGCTACTGGCATGTAGTGAGTAGAAGCCAGGGATGGTGCTAAATAAATATCCTACAGCACCCAGGCAAGCCCTTCTCATCAAGGAATTATTCAGCTCAAAAAGTCAATAGTGCCGAGGTTGAGAGACATTGAAGTTGAGGGCGAGGACTGAGATACCCTGAGTTGCCTTCTTTCCATTTATACTGACTGATACTCCCATGGTGCCTTGCTCACTGCTGGATACCTCACTGGAGTCCCACTTGATAATTATTCATTTGTTCATCCTCCCTGGAGTGACTCTGGAGAGAGGTGATTTGATGGTTCCCATTTGGGAATTGAAATGAATTCTGGATTCTTCTGGAAAATTTCTTTGGTCATAGCCATTGTTATGATAAGGAGTGAAATCTAGACTGGGGACCAGTGAGCACCCAGTAGTTCTCTTGGAGTCAGCTGACCCCTCTAAGTGTTGACTTTGTCAAAGTTTGAGGCGCAAGGGGGGCTAGAAGGAATACAGGGTTTCGGTTGGCACCTCTAGACCCCTTGTTTTCACTTAATTTCTTAGAATCAGAAATATATTCCCATGTTTCAGACTTGGAAACATAGAAGAGGAGATGGTGAATGTCTTCTCTCAGACCTTCCAGCCTCCCACTCCCAACTGATGGGGCTACAGGACAGTCAGGATCCTTGCCCTTCCTCTGGGGCACGTTCTCCTGGGGAGACAGAGACAAACAAGTAAACTCCTCTGAGACATTTTTTTTTTTTTTTTTTTTGCGGAAGCCGGTGCTCTGGCTCCTGTCTGCTCTCGGGCTGG